GGGGGGGGGGGGGGGGTGCTAGGGCATACAAAAACAAGCCTAAAAATGTGGTAAAATGAAGGCAGATTGCGATTTTATTATGTGAGAGCTTGTGAGTTGCCTATGCCTCTACATTAATATTAGACTAGTAATAAAAAAGAAAAGTGATTTCAATATAATGCCCGCGTTTTCAACATTTGCTAGCAAGAATTCCCAAAAATGGCATAAACAAAAGAATTCATAAAACCAAAACCATGCGTAAAAATAAACCACATACTGTGACGGTGGCGAGCATCACGTGCTTTCAAATATTTCTGCTCAGCAGTGACCGACTCCAATGCCTCTCTAAGCTCAGCAATCTTAACATTTATAGGGTCTAGGTGTTCTGCAAGAAGTGACCAAAACAAGGTGAGAAGAGAAATGTGTTAACTTCTCACAGGCAACCAAGACTTTAGCAATGCAGAAGTTAATCAATTACCATCTTTAGCAAGGTCATGTTCGTTCGGAATGTGACCCACATGGATGTAGAAAGAAACAGTCTCAGGAGTCGAGTAGGGATTATGAAAACAGAATTTATACATTCCACTACGAGGAGCCTTAAACTCAAACTTGTCGCCAGATGTCTCCTTCAAAGAGTGAACCACATTACCTGCGGGAGATGTAACCTGCACGAAAATAACCCATATAAGGATATCTTCAAACAGCATTTTATCATCGATATAAAACGATCAGACAAGAAATTCCAGGCATCCCAATGTTCAGCCAACCCTAAACAATGAAGGAACACAAGTAGCTTCACATAGATTAAAAGAAGAAGAACAACAACAAAGTAAACCTAAGGAATTGAGTTGAGAATCATGACTCGTCGTAGTTATTTATAAAAACAAAAATTTGAGCAAGAGATCGCCAATTTTATAAACCATGAACAATTGAACCATACAATTTCAAAAACGAAGAAAATTACAGGGTATCAGTCCGCTCAGGCTCGAAAAGGGGCTTATAATTGTGGATCTATTGATCAGAAACTGTTCAATAACGAATCATCTCGCAGCTCACAAGATAAAGAATCCAATTATCAATCTAACATATCATCTCTCAAAGCCATAATTTCAAACAAACGAACCCTAGACGTCGAATTAACAAAAGGGCAAAATTTTCCACCGTGTTTTAAAAAGTCAAAATCAACACGCAAGCTCTCACATTCTTTCCCACGCCAATTTCATAACAAAGATAATAAAATTTCCCAGAAATATCAGAAATTAAAACTAAACCCTCTCCCGCTATCCCAAGATCCCCCGATCTAAGATCCAATCTTAATCGAGCACAACCAACAAATCGGCAGTAATGAAATCCATCTACATGCAAACATAAACACAATAACAGATTGAAGATAGAAAAGATAGGAATTTACAGAGAAATCAATGCCGGGATGATCGGCGCCCCAGAAAATATCATGATCGACCACCACAAAATTTCCAGAAACAGTGTCGCCTTCGTACAAAACGTACTCATAAACGCATTCAAGCTCGTTCACAGTGACCGAAATTGAATCGATTCCGGTGAATAGGCTCACCAGAAGAAGACCCGCCAACAGATATCCGAATCCCGTCTCTCTCAGCCTCCTTTCCATTTTCTTGCCTTCTCGGTTTTCTTTTTCCTTTCGGATCCTTTAGTCCGAAGTTTATAAATGGTTAAGTAGCACTAATCACCAATCAATTTACAAAAGTACCCTTTTCTTGTTTTTTGAAAACTAGTCTTTCCATTATAGAACATATTGGAAAATAAGCCGGCGGCTTAAAAAGTTATTTAATTTTCAAATCTCTAATCACCTAATCCATTTTTCCTTTATTTTATCGTTCTTTTGGGCTTATATTTTGGGCCTATTGGGCTTCTTAACTGGTTGCCAACTGTTCTTATGGGCCCATTTATATCTAATCTTTTTTTCTTTTTTCAATTTCTCTTTTTAGATAAATTTAAAGCCGATTGCCATATAACCAACAAAAATCAATAGTTTATGATATGATTGGCAAATAAATAAATAAATATAAAATAAAACAATATATTTTAACTGAGATGAAATATAAAATATATTTAATTGATCGAGTGGTCAATGTAAATATTCATGCAGTAATAATTGTTGAACTAAAAAAAATTTGTCCAATGTATTATTATATTAGTATTTATTTAGTTCTTAATATCAAAAAGATATTTAAAATATTAAGAATAGTCAACCGTCAAGATCTTCACGTTGATTGGTCTGTTTTTATCAACAAATCTTAATATTCACTCAACCAAAAAAAATGAAAAAAAAAAAACATACGAAGTTGGTGTGTTCTTATTATTGATGCAAGAGTCGACTCATAAATTCATATTAGCTTCATGTTGAGGCGTCTAACTGTACGAAAAGAATTCTCTATGACTTTATGATTTGTTCCACATAAAATGTTTTATAAAAATGAAGCTAATCCACGTTTACAGTCTTCCTTAACAAATATGAGACTTTGTGTTTGTTGCCCACGTGGCACTTAAAAAGTTTATGTGGACGGTCGGGATGCCCCAAATTATACCTATAAACCCATAATTTTAATGTTTGTATTAAATATTCTTTAATATTGGTATTCTAGTGTTGAATTTTACTTCATATACTTATAGTGTTCATTCCTTCCACTATTTATTTATTATTTTTATTTATTTTTTAGTGATAAATTAACACTAAACAGGAAAAAAAGAAACCCTAATTACTCCTTTTCCACTGATCTAGAAGCTTCCTCCAACTAGCTTTAACCCACTGTACAAAAGTCTCCTTTGTTTCTTCTGGTGAATTAGGAAGCCACGCCATTACACTTTTTCATGTGTGGACAATCCAACCCACGTGACTCCCTTATTTGGCAATGAATGGAAACTGCTGACGTGGAACCTAAGTATCCACCACTCCCTGCCCCATCCCCCGCTATATAAACCCCGCGGAGGTCCTCATCTACATCATCATAGAAGCGCTCCACCGCCAATACGATAATTTCCATCGCTCTTTGATCGATTACTGCCCTTAGTCTCCGCCGTTCCTTTGCTCCGTTGACATTGAACCCCCAGGAACTGAGCGAAATGGCCACTTCTGCATTATTACAAGCCATTCCGGCGAGATCGGCATCTCGAACTACCCTTAGGACACCAACGAACCGGTTGTGTTCCAGGAGGACGGCCTCCTTCCGTGTGCGATGCACGGCGGAGGTAATCATTATTTTGTCTTCACTTTTATTCTTTGTATATACAACCTAGGGCTTAATGTATGTCTAAATCTGTTTATTCGACTGGACTCTCAGGAGGAGCAGAGAGAGCAAGCGATTCCTACACCAGCTCCGCCGACGTCAAATCCGTCCCCTCCGCCACCGTCTCCGAAGCCGAAGGTAAACAATCCGTTTACATCCACCAGCCGTTCTCAATCGACGGATCGAACCGTAACAGATCGTAGATGAACATTGTCTTTAAATATCATCGTTAATTTCGAATCTGATAATATGATCCTCAGGTGAGCACGAAATTCTCGGACGTCCTCGCATTCAGCGGGCCAGCGCCAGAGAGAATCAACGGGCGGCTAGCAATGATAGGCTTTGTGGCCGCTGTAGCGGTTGAGGCATGGAAAGGTCAGGATGTATTGGAGCAAATAGGCAACGGAGGAATTCCATGGTTTGTGGGAACGAGCGTGGTTTTGACACTGGCATCGCTGATTCCGCTATTTAAAGGGGTGAGTGTGGAGTCTAAGTCGAAGGGGCTTATGACATCCGACGCGGAGCTGTGGAATGGGAGGTTTGCGATGTTGGGGCTCGTAGCTTTGGCCTTCACTGAATTTGTCAAGGGTGGAAGCCTCGTGTAGATTGTAGTTCTGAGATGTAGATTCGATGTCTCTAAGAGAACAACGAATATGTTACTTAATAGTTTTCTGTAACAATGATTATTAGTAATACTTCTTCGTTTGCCTATATGTTATTTTTTGTGTTTCTAATTAATTATGTGTACCAATAGCTATTAGTGCACTAATTAACATTTAATTTGAACATATTAGGACTCACTTTATAATAGGAATAATTATGAACCCATCAACTCCGTTTGAATTTTTGTAATAATGATATACACATTATAAGATGTCTAACATTATTAGTACATGTAAAAAAATTTCTAATATAATAATAATATATCACCATCAATAATAAATGACAATCAACTACATACGATAAATATAGTATATTAGGAAGATGACGAAAAAAACGTATACGTGGAGTTTCATACATATGTCTATATAACCTCATGATTCAAAATCCTTATTACTTATCTTATTAATATTTCAGAGGTTAAAATTACTATTTCAAAGAAAATGTTAAATTCTCATGCAATAATATATAGATTGAACTATGAATGTTAAAAATGCAAACAAATAAATAAGTATTTTACATGTGAAAACTATTTAAAATTCATATTGTTAGTGACATTTTGGTGATATTTATCTGTTTTATTTTAAATAAAAAAAGCTTTTATCTTGATACTATATTGCTCGTAGTCTCTTATTCAGTGCACAATTTATCTCCTCAAAAAGATTTATCTACAGTGGACAGGCTTCTTTCTTCAAAACATATAAACAGAAAAGAATGGATGAATATATTTTCATCTATATACATATTCACCATAAACCATCCACATCTCTAATAGGGCCGGGGCGGGGGTAGGAGGGTATTGTGATGATACCTTGCATCTGCTGCTAAGGGTCGATGTAGATCGCCAACTTGTGAGGCTCACCTTTTTGTTGCTTATCATCATCTTGCGTTGTAGCTTCATCATCTTCTTTCTGTGATTGTGTAAACATTGAGTTAAATAATGATCTCAATTCAGATGTATTCTCTGCAAATCAAACTTTGAAAAGATTTCAGTTTTGTTGATCACTTAAAAGAACTTTTGGATGAATATTTTAATTTCTTGTTCTTAGAAATGCAAAAGCTTTGACAGTTCAAATTTAGCAAAACTTTTAGCCAAACTTCAAACTAAAGTTGGCTAAGATTTCAGAGGAACTTACTTCTGAAGGTAGATTAGCTGGAAACAAATTTATGACTCCAGCATCGAAGTTGAAACCACTGAGCAAATCAGATGTTGAATATAAGAAGCCATGGATTAGCTACAGGTACCAGATTGATGTAAAGAAAAAACAAAAGAAAATCTAAGGAATAAGAGACTGAGGTACATGTTCAGTTCACAAATTGATAAATCACTGTAATCATGAAATGTTCCCAAGAGGATTCAAATCTATATATATATATATAACAATTACTAAAATGAACTGATATGCGGAAAAGTCATTTTAAAATATGGTTATATGAGAATCTCATGGATTATGATGGGGACAACAGACTTTAGTTTGATTTTTCCAATGAAAATACACAAGAATTTTGCATAAAAAGGAGCATGAAGGAAAAGATACCAGGTTGATAGTACAAGCTGCCACACATATGGAATGAAGAACTCTTCGGGATGACTCTCTTGCTCATACGTGAAACGTAGTTGAGTAAACATCTACAATAATATAAATTCGTATTAGAAAACAAAAGCAATAAGGAAACTGATCTTCAAAAATCATTTGCGCAAGTTGGCTTTTCAGCTAAACATCGAGTTTTTTTTCTCACCTTCAAGCCTTCTCCACGCCAAGATCTGCAGTTATTAATGATAACTTGCAACACTTTCTCAACTGACCAATCACCGTCCCTTCTTTGAGCATCTATGCGGCTATTGAAGAAATCTAGTACCTACACAGCATTAACAATTAAATAAGTACCTGCAAATGACTGGCAAAGCCTAATAAGCAAAATTGCAAAGTTAACAGGGATGGGGGAGATAAAATTAAGAGAATTATACAATATTCTGAAACATACAGTGTAAATGTTCTCAAGGAGTTCATTAAATCGTGGGTGATTCTTGAATGGCTGAAATACTTCTTGCCTGTGCATTATTGCATATACAAACTGCCAAAGTGTACAGATTCAATAACAGAAGAGGGAAGTCAATAAGAATAAAGCTAAATATACAACCAATTATTGGATCTTTCATCAGCTTCTATGATGGTACCTCTGGATTCCGTGGTAGAGCATAAGACAGAATAGCATTCAGAATTTCGAGGACAAGCCTCAGGAAGTCGGTATAAATATGCATCTCAGTTGACTACAACGAAAACAATCAAACTCAGCAACACGTTAAATATATTGTGCGACCATCCATATAATCCAAATACGAATTTGACTTGTACCCTAAAAAATTATAGTGAATTACCGCATCATCTGTTGGGAAATTGACTTCGGTGGAGTTGGTTTTAACATTATCAACCTTAATGTCTCTGAGTTCTGCCGATCTGTTATACCTACACCAAAATTAACAGCAAGAAAACAGGTCATAAGACCAAAGCTCATAAGACCAACCATGAATTATGATACAAGAGTTGTCCATGAGTAAAGGTATCAATAAGTTCATGCTACTCAAGTTCATCCATTTAAAGTGGAAGTGGCAATTCATCTCTGATGCCTCGTCAGTAGCATTGCGTACAGTGAAATGGATAAAGAATTACAAGGGAATCAGCCAACAGAAAGAATTATTGTCTTACTTCCTTGAAAGCATATCAAAAAGGCTGACCAGCCTCTGAGACGCATATGAACTCAAACGGTGGACATGAGGAGCCATATTTGCTAATGTTGCAAGACAAGTAGTATGGAGATATACATCCTGTCAAAGAATTACCAAATACATTAGTGTGTGAATTAAGTAGGTTAAGAAGCAGAAGAAATGGAACATATTTCAGGATTGATCTGATGTTGAAATATTTTGCATCAAGTAAGTTATGAAACTTACTACGAGCTTCAATATAAACCAATGATGCAGAGTAGAGAGAGAAAGATGAAATAAACTCAACACCTCAAAATTGGCACGCAATTGATAACACTATTAATCACTCCACAAGCATTTACATATTTATTTGCTTAATCCCAAGCAGTTTAGACTTCCACAAGTCAGGAAATTATATAAAAAGGGCATAGGAGCATGATCATCATCTATATATTAAACCACACAAAAAATTTATTGTGATTACTCAAATCGTACTTTAATTAGATGGAACATATTTCAGGATTGATCTGATGTTGAAATATTTTGCATCAAGTAAGTTATGAAACTTACTACGAGCTTCAATATAAACCAATGATGCAGAGTAGAGAGAGAAAGATGAAATAAACTCAACACCTCAAAATTGGCACGCAATTGATAACACTATTAATCACTCCACAAGCATTTACATATTTATTTGCTTAATCCCAAGCAGTTTAGACTTCCACAAGTCAGGAAATTATATAAAAAGGGCATAGGAGCATGATCATCATCTATATATTAAACCACACAAAAAATTTATTGTGATTACTCAAATCGTACTTTAATTAGATGGGCTTGTCAAATCATACCCGCAACTTAGAGAGGTTGAATTGTACGGTCCTGATCAAGATTATTACCATCAGAGAACCAAGAGATGTTTGATGAAGAAGACGATCCTTATACCAAGGAACTGCAGGAAGTATCTGAGCACATAGTAACAGAACTTAAGAGAACCTCATAAGAGCAAGAACACATGTAAGCAGATATCGGCCTTACAAGTTTGTGAATGCTCGCATTGAAAGAAGAATCCTGGCTAAGAATTAGAAGTATGATCAGTAACATGTAGATTTGATTAGATGACCTCGTTGAAGCATTATAGAGTGCTTCCAAAATGGGCATCAACTGTTCATAGATTATCAAACAGAAGGAGCAATAAGATATAGTTGTTACAACTGTATAAAGTGGATGTATGACCAACGTACAAACATAACACCGCAACAGTATTTAAAAAAAGAAGTGAACCATCCAAATTGACTCCCCATAAACCATCTAAGAAATCTTAGTTGCAACATCGCACTAATAAACCGTTGCTTTGATCAATATTGAACTCCAGCAACTTACCAATGTATCCAAATCAGTTCGCACCAGAACATATTCCAAGAAGTCAGGATTCCCTTGCAATAATGAGTAGAGAAGAAGAACGGAGCCCTCATCAGCCAAGCACCTGCAGATACATATCCTGTTCAGGGTAACTCAAAGAAAAGGGTTGTCTCGTACCATCACCCTTTGCACCTAAAAAAAGTATATAGATGCAAATAATACTACATATGCACATATTAACTTTTAACCTCGTACTACAGCCAAGTAAAATGATATATGAACATAATTAAATTTATATATGTTGCAACTAGATTCCTGAATGCATAAAACTTTACACGTGAAATTTGAACATAATATTATCAATAATTATTAAACAAGAAAGCAAATACATACATTCCAAGAGTATCAAACAGTAAAGCAAATGGTAACCGCACAAGTGGACCATTATGTGCATTTCCGTCCGTATCAACACGATCGACTGTTAAGCACAAAATAAACCAGCATCAACCATACATAAACTGCCTAAACAACAAGAAAAAAACAGTGATGGAGCATGGAAAACTAATATCTTACATTCGACATCAGATGCATTTTCCAAGGCTTTGCAATAGGGATTATCATAAAAGGTTGAATTCTCTTTCAAAAGAGAATCTGAACTAATGCTATCGCCACTTGCTACAGATCCATTGCTCACAATACATTTACGATAATGAATGAGAACAAGAAGAACGTGAAGACTGCAATCAGCCAATGGACTTCTTGAGCCTTGAGCAGTTGAACTGACCAGGTTGTTGAATGGCATTAACACAAAATTTGCTGTAGAAGGGTTAAAGGTACACATGTTAGCAGAGGCTTTTATCAGTAACATAAGCTTCAAATGGTATCCCAGATTCAACAATCATGCGAACAACCAAAAATACAATAGATCGCATGCCAAACTGGATACACCGGCTTGGTTACTTTTGGTGAATGAATGAAGGAAAAAAAGCCTT